AGGTTCATTTAATTTTGACTTACATCGGAAACTGAAGTTGACAGTCTGACACATTGGAAGGATTTAGGTGAAGATAGACCATTAGAGACAAATACCATTTGCTAACCCCTGACAGAAAGCTGTTCATCTTAGTACAGTCTGTCTAGCTGGGACATAAACCTATTCAGGGTGTCGATGAATGCAACGATCTAGAATAATAAACAATCAGCATAAATCTGAAAAATCTACACTAACGATTCACACCTTCTTTTGCATAATCTTCTCATTTTGTTCATTCACTTTATCTCACGGAATGTTAACAAAAATATAACGATTTGAAATCACAGCACTCATCTAGGGGACATGCAGATTCTTATTTTAGCATCATCTCTTGTGAATAGTCCTGAACGCTCCAGCCGACAGCTTCCATGCCGAGCAAGACAGTTAACTACATTCAGTTCAATTCTTATTTAACTATGTAACATTGAAATATGACGTCAGAAAGCAACACACTGCTAGAGGAACCGCACTAGTTAGTATTTACACCTCAGATTATTCCGTCTACACTTAGTGAGTATCGTACAGATTTAATTCACACTAAGAGATTTGACTGTGAACACTTTGTCGTCAACCTTAAGAACTCTAGAAGTAGCTACCGGCAAAGTTAAACTTTAAGCACCACTAACTAACTATCATCAATCAGAGAAAGTGACCTCGAACAACGCACCAATCACGTGAAGGAGGCATCTGTGTGTATGGAATACATATATATTTACGAAAAAGTTGCATAGAAACTGCATAAATATGTTACAGAGGATACCTTTCTCGCACATGTGATAAAAATAGCTCTCAGTTTTAGGTTGGAGTATCAACAGAGTAGTGCAATTCTATTGTGGGTGAAATTTATTTTGATAAAGTCTCATTATGTTATGCAGTAATATTTACTGAGCAATAAATTGTGCTCGAAACGTGGTCATCAGTAAATATTACTGTATAACAAACACTGTGAAACTTTATCAAAAAATAAATTTTACTCATAATGGAATTATACTCTACCACAACCATAGTGCACAAGATCTATTTTTATATCAACAGAGTAATTTAACCACATTCTATGCATGTAATTATTTAGGTCTTCTAACCCTAATCTTTCATGAGACCTGACGTTGACGTGAAAACATCCCTAACCCTAACTGTAATCTAACTCGAACCAACCCTAATATCGCCTTTATTAGGTTAACCTAATCCTAAACTTGTCCATGGCTTAAAGCGTATCTTAATCTTTCCCAAAGCATCGTTTCACCTACAGGCGGAACTGACGAGGATATCAAAGCAAGGATCATCGGAAAAGCAAGACAAGCTTTCATTACTCTCAAGTCTGTTTGGGGGTCAACAGCACTCAGTATCAAAAATAAGATTCGGATTTTCAACTTCAATGTAAAGTCAGTCAGTGCTACTTGCTATACGGATGGATCAGAGACTTGGCCGGCGTGTCATATAGAGCACCTCAAACAAACTACAGACCTTCATCAACAGCTGTGTTCGCTCAATACTCAAGATCAGGTGGCCAGAAAAGACCAGAACAGAGATCTCTGGGAGCGAGCCAACCAGGGACCGATTGTGAAACAAATAGGCAGGAAGAAATGGAGATGGATTGGCCATACTCTGAGAAAACAAACCATCAAGTGACATAACTAGACAAGCCATTGCTCGAAAGGAACCCGAAAGGGAAGCGGTGAGGTGGTCGTCCAAGGGCGAGGGTAACTTGGAGGAGGTCATGTGAAGAGGAGATGAAGACGTGTGGGCAGACTTGGAGCCAGGTGAAGACTCTAGCAGAGAACCGAACGCAATGGAGATGCACGGCTGAAGCCCTATGTTCCTCTAGGAATTAAAGGAAACAATAATAATAACAATAATCTTTCCCAAACCTACGCTGAAACTTGCGAGATACCCCATTAATAAATAGGATAGCACTTCGATGAGCATATTTTATTGGTGATGATAACATTATTTATTGGCCAGGTTTCACTAACTTGCTCAGCGAGCTTTTCAAGGTCCTTGGTGCGCGGTCGCACTCCATTATTGGTAGTTAGTTAGTGGTGCTTAAAGTTTAACTAGGGCCATTATCATTATTAATATTTTGTTGTCCTCCGTTGATAATTACTCCGGAAGCATAAAAGTGTTCAAGGCAGTTCACAAGTACTATTAAAATACATAAGCCAGGTTACCCCAATACGACCATTAGTGTAGATTTCAGAAATACCCCTATTTGCGAATTAATAATAATAGTAATTTGCTTTATTCCGAAACAGTACTTGTGAACACAGAATGGAATTCTCAGCATTTCACTACAGTATTGCATGCAGTTTGCACATTAACAATAAATAAAATTCTACATAGATTATGGGTAGTCTCAGTTAATTTTGACAACAACATATTGGCATTTTATTTATTTTTGATTACAGCTTGATGCCACACCGTATTTTCAGTACAGGTATGGCATTTTCAGCATGGATATCGGTAGCCCAAATTTTACAGGCCGACCATAGATATCGGGTGTGCGTCGGCAGGGGATCGAACTCCGGATCATATGCATGGTCGGCGAGAGTCCTAACCACTGTGCCACCGACGCACATGTCGGTAGCAAAGCCAAAGCTGAACAGTGTTTGAAAAGTAAGTGCTATCATATTTACTGGCGTAAGCGGAAGAAAAAAACAAAGCAGCACATAACGGAAAAAAGAGAGAAAGAAAATGTTGTACCTATAAATGATATGAGTTGGAAAAACGAGATCCAATTGTTGTACTGACTATTTAATGAATTATAGGTGTCACGCCTAATGCTTTCTTTATTGCACAGAACACGAGCTAAGTAGGGTATGGTTGAGTATTTGTACTTGCTGCTGAGAACATACAGTTTTCTACATAGGCTTCTGGTCCAGCCTGATGAGATACAAGGGGAGAGTTGTGAATGAAGAGGGTGGTGTGAGTTAGATAAAATGGATTTGGCCCATTTTTTACATGAGTCCATGTGCCTGTCGACCAGATTAATAACAAGCTAGTTAAGTGACAAATTGCTTACCCTGCTGACAACCTTTAACATCCTGCGTAATATGTTATAGTCTTTCTTCAGCAGCCCGGGAAAAACTAAGGGGGAACAATAGAGAATAATAGGCAGAATGAGAGAGTTAACGAATTGTAAAAGTAAGGGTTGGGTTACACCAGAATGTTTTAACTTCTTGGTATAGAAGGAAAGACGGAATATTTTCTTAGAAATCGCTAAGATATGAGACAACCAGGAAAGATCAGCAGATAAAATGACGCCTATGTATTTAATTTCCGACTTGGTTTCTATTTCAGTGCTATCTATATTGCATACCCCGTGAGAGCCAACCAGTTTGTTTAGGTCGGATTTATTCTTAAAGGTGAAATTGGCTGTTTGGCATTTGGAGGGGTTTAAGGTAAGACCGTTTTCCTTGGACCGCTGGCTGATTTCTGACAGAAAGCCATTAAGTTTATCAAAACACTTAGCTCTAATACTATGCCCCATTAGAAATCGGTCAAACTCTAGACCAGCTGACTAATTCATACGAGATGAAAAAGAAACGAAATGACATTCAATTAGAGAATGATGAAATAATGGTTAGATTTGATATAATTGGTCTTTATACTAATATATCAATCAATATGGAAGCCTTAGAAGCAGTTAAAAAAGAATTAACTGCAGATCCTGAACTCACTCACTCATTGGACAAAGCTGCACACTGAGGAGATTATTTTAGGGTTACAGTTATGCCTCACTCACATCTACTATCTTTAAATTCCAAGGCAAAATATATAGACAAACAGAAGGTGTAGCAATGGGATGGATCACCAATATTCCCCATCGCAGCAGACATATTTATGGACAGCTGGGTAAATACTGCTCTGAATACATTCACCTAATCCTACTGTCTGTCTGGGTTCAACATAGAACTTGGCACCGAAGTGCAGCAGTTCGAGTTGCCACGTTCCAAATAACACACAAATATAGACAAGAAAATGAGTGAAGAGAATCAATAGAGTTTTGACAAGTATAAGAGTGAAACAGAATGAGTAATAGTAGAAAGGAATATGAAAGATTACACAAGAGACTGAATACATCTGCATAAGCCATTGGCAACGATTTTGAGCCATGTCACCTATTGTCTCCAGCCATTGATTCTTAGAGTCCCGAGGGCGGGCCCCAACCCGGAAGTCTGCATCTCCTAGTTTAACTGTCAAGGATTTCATGGATTGATGAGGCCATGTTTTTGTTTGGCATGGCACCACTTACTCTTTTCCAACCTGCACCTATATATTAGCTAGTAATGCCCGTCGGGAGGGGGAGGCGATGGTTAGACATGCGAAGCACGTGACCTAGCCATCTCAATCTATGTAAGTAACTTTATAGCCTTGTCGATTGATTTTCCCTCTTTGCCCAACAATCTACGCCTAACCTAACGTCAACATTACTTACCTTATGATACCACCTCCTAACGTGAGAAAGAGATCGTAGACATCTATGATCAAAAACAGTCAACCTTTTCATGTCTTCAACTCGTATTGGCCTTGTTTCAGAGCCAGCCATAGAGAAGGACGGAGCGAACTGCTGACTAGTACACACGTCCCTTGGTTGATAGCCGGATGTCACGCCTACGCCAGAGAGATGTAGTAAGTTAGCGAAAGCAGCCCGAGCATTTTGGATTCGTGCTGAGATTTCGTCACCAATCAATCCGTTGGTGCTGATACAACTTCCCAAACAGGTGAAGTGGTCAACATGTTCTATCACTTCACTCCCTATCACTAAGCTAGGGGTAGACGTAGTCCAGTCCTGTAGCAGCATCTTACATTTTACAGGGGCGAATCGCATGCCAAACATACGAAGATTGCAGCAGCTCAAGGTGTTCAGAAGACTCTGCACAAGTAATCGCTGTAAGACAAACAAACACACATAGTTGTGTTCACCTGAGTTTAAAGGCACATTTTACGAAAGATGATAATAATTGGGAAATAAAAATTGTATTTGTATACTAAATAATAATAATGATAATAGGGCGTATAGTGTGCGTGTGGTAATATACATATTGATTGATTAGAATCGCCAGTAAGTAAGGTATTTTATTTTATTTCTATCCCCCAAGCATATGTTTGATCCTTGACCAGCTTGTGAAAGCCACAGCCAGCGCGCCAACAGCTAATCCAGCAGTCCCACCAAGAGCACAACGTTTCCATCCATTTGGTTTAAACATACCTAAAGTTTTATAATAAAAAATATTCAAAAAAAACCAACAGGTGAATTCATATTTATGAATTTTTGTAGAAATTTAAGCGCCTTTTTTATTATGCATTTTAATGTATGTGATATTAATTTCTAATTTAATTAAAGTATAGTCGTCTGGAGCATTACCTCTTATACTAAAGCATAAGTCCAGGTTTCCTAGGACGACACAGACTGACTTGACTGGTTTCAACATAGAATTTTGTATCGATGTGCAGAAGTTCAAGTCGCCCACACTCCATGTGGAAAACGGTCTTACCTTGAACCCCTCCAAATGCCAAACAGTCAATTTCACCTTGAGGCATAAATCCAACCTAAACAAACTGATTGGCTCTCACGAGGTGTGCAACATAGATGGCACTGAAATAGAGATCAAGTCGGAAATTAAATATCTTGGCTTCATTCTATCTGCTGATCTTTCCTGGCTCTCATATCTTGATGATTTCTAAGAAAATATTCCATCTCACCTTCTATATCAAGAAGTTAAAATATTCTGGTATAACCAAACCCTTACTCTTATGATTCGTTAACTCTTGCATCTTGCCTATTATTGTCCATTGTTCCCCCTTAGTTTTTCCAGGGCTACTGAAGAAGGACTATATCTTATTACGTAGGGTGTTAAAGGTTGTCAGCAGGGTAAGCAATGTGCCACTTAACCAGCTTGTTAGTATTCTGGTCGACAGACAGGCACTTGAACTCATGTGAAAAATGGACGAAATCCATTCTATCTAGCTCTCACACTACACTCTTCATTCACAACTCTCCCCTTGCATCTCATCAGGCTCGTGTTTTGTGCGATAAAGAAAGCATTAGGCGTGATACCTATAACTTATTAAATAGTCAGTAGAACAACTGGACCTCGTCTTTCCAACTCATATCATTTATAGGTACAACATTTTCTTTCTCTCTTTTTTCCGTTATGCGCTGCTTTGTTTCTTTCTTCCGCTTACGCCAGTAAATATGACAGCACTTACTTTTCTAACACCTTCAAACACTGTTCAGCTTTGGCTTTGCTACCGACATGCCAATATGTTGTTTTCATAATGAACTGAGATTTCCTTAATTTATGTAGAATTCTACTTATTGATAATGTACTAAGTGGATGCAATACTGTAGTAAAAATGCAGAGAATTCCATTCTGTATCACAAGTACTGTTTTTGAATACAGCAAATTATTATTATTATGTAGCACACAAAGCCAGAGAAGAAGAAGAAAGTAAAGAGAAATGCAAAATAGAGACAGCAAACAGAGATATGAGGCAAAAAGAATAGTAATATCGAAGAATGATATAGTTTCATTGGTTATTATAAGTCACAAGGAGTGGATGTATCTGCGCCAGCCAGCCATTGAGAACGATTTTGGGCCATATCATCGATTGTTTCCAGCCTTCATTGGTGTTTACTGTCCCGAGGACTCCAACCAGGAAGCCAGTCTACATCTTCCTACGTGGTTGGCTGGCTTAAACTAACTGTTGTGGATTTCATTGACTGATGATGAAGCCATGTTTTGGTTTATACCATCACTAAGAGGTTTTCCAACCTGTTCGATACTGTGTCAGTCAGCTAACATTGCCCATTGTGGAGGAAGGCGATGACTTGTCATGCGTAACACATGTCCTAACCATCTCAGTCGATGTAACTTCACAGCCTCGTTGATTCATCTCCTCGCCTGCTTACCTAGCAATCGACCGACTCCTAACCTGAATACTGCTCACCCTATTATACCAATTCACACGGGAGGGAAACAGAACGCAGGCACCTATGATCAAAGACAGCTAGCCAACCGGCCTTTTCATGTCTCCTACTTTCAGTGGCCAGGTCTCACAGCCATAAAGGAGGACGGAGAAAAGTGCCGCTGAGCGAACAGCCGCGATTGATGGAGATCACTTCAGCAAACTTGAGGAGAATTGAGCTCTTTTGCCTATTGATAATTTTGAACGATTTTGCAATGTCCACCTCATGACCGACCGACGCGTGTCAAGGAGATGCCTGGCGATGGCACTGTTTAAAGCATTTGTTCCCAGATGTAGACATAAGCTTTTTGGTACATGTTCAGAAAATTGTAGATATGCCCTTCTTTCTGCCCCCGCAGATACATGTAAATTTGTATATACAGTTGGAGTTGTTAACCTGAGAAGGATGGATATCTTTCGATTTTTGATTGCACTATAGAAGAGCAAGTTGTTCGATAGACGGGGACGAGCTTCGCTAGCTGCAGGATAGGCTAGGCTATGGCTAGTGATGATGTACTCAGCCCTCTGTTGATCATTGCTGCAATGTTTTCACCTTTATAATCAATCAAGCTGAATGTAGATTAGCTTTTTACCCACAGTTGGATATTTCACGAAATTTGTTGGTATATGATTTAAAGATAAAAACAGTCAATCATACTAGTACTTGTGAAACTACCAAAGAAGGGCGACTTAGGCCTCACTCTGCAAGAACTGGCGAGGAATCATGCTCCTGTCGACGCCAAGTAAAATTCTGAGTCGCATCATCCTGGAGAGGATAAAGGACGCACTGGATACAGAATTCCGACCAGAACAAGCTGGATTCAGGAAAGGCAAATCATGTTATGACCAAATTGCAACTCTATGCATCATCATCATCGAACAAATCATGGAATGGCAATCAAACCTCTACCTCAACTTTATAGACTTTGAGAAGGCCTTCGACAGCGCAGCGTTGACCGCGAAGTAATTTGGAAACTATTCAAGTACTACGGCGTACCCCAAATATTCATCAACCTTATTAAATGGTTGGAGGCAATCGGCAGGAAGCTGAGGACCTAGGTTTCGTGCTAGTTGGCACTCATCAGCAAGGCGTATCTGCAACCTTGAAGGAACTGATGTCCCTTCTGAGATTCGAACCCGCGTCACCCAGTACTGCAGTTAGAGACGTTACCACTGAGCTATTCAGGCTCGCGACTGACCTCCTGTGGGACTGTATTGGATATTTTTGATTGCACACTAGTCAGCAACTAGTGTGCAATCAAAAATATTCATCAACCTTATTTAACAGCTGTACGACAACGGCACATGTCAAGTGATCCACAAAGGAAAACTCAGCGAGGCGTTTGGAGTAAATACAGGAGTCAGACAAGGGTGCTTATTATCACCAATGATATTCCCAATTGTGGTGGACTGGATTATGCGTCAGACAGGGGGAAACAAGAAGACACGGATATCCTGGACCGACGTGAAGAACCTAGAAGACCTGGATTTCGCGCGTGGATGATTTATGTTTGATGTCACACAAAATCGAAGACTTACAAGCAAAAACCGACTAACTGGTCGAAGAAGCAGCAAAGACAGGACTGACTCCAGGTGAACATAGAAAAGACAACCAGCATCAACAACAAAAGCAACATCCAGCGCCAATCACCATCAACGGGAGGGATTTGAAAGAGGTTACTTCATTCACTTATCTAGCTAGGGAGCATTGTCTCAACTACAGCAGGAGGAACGGACGAGGATGTCAAATCGAGAATCGGGAAGGCGAGAAACACATTCATCAACCTGAAACCAATCTGGAAATCTTCGTCACTCAGCAACACTCAACAACAAAATTCGGATTTTCAATACAAACGTCAAGTCAGTCAGTTCTTCTATACGGATCAGAAACTTGGTGGCGGGTCACAAAGAATATTTCCAACAGCCTGTTGCACACCTTTATCAACAACAACAACAACTGTCTTCGCTCTATACTGAAGATCAGATGACCACCGGAAAGAACAAGAACCAACAAGAAACTATGGGAACAAACAAAACAAGAAAGTGGAGATGGATTGGACACTCGCTGAGGAGGCCGCTGGGTGACATCGCGCGTCAGGCCACCCATCGCTCGAGTGGAACCCTAAAGGGAAGCGGCGACGTTCAAGGGTGACATGGAGGAGATCGTGCGAAGAGGAATTAAAACAGTATGGACTAACATGGATGCAGGTGAAAAGTACATTGGCAGAAGACAGAAGCAGCAAGTGGAGACGTGCAGTTGAAGCCCTATGTTCCACTAGGAACCCAAGGGAACAATAATTACAATAATAATACTAGTACAAATAATACATCAATAACACACACATAGCTATAAAATTCTCTCTTACCCGGAGATGTATACACTAAACCGGTAGTTGTTGCTGCAGCGATTGTATTGACCTCGTCATCTGCTCCCTGGCGTATTTTATGGATGAAGAAATCTGCCAAAGCATAGATAAGTCCAATGGAACCTGCAGTCTGTGCAAGTGTTGCTCCAGATTTAGTCATATGATTAAGCATTTGTGTCCGACGGATGGCAAGTGTAGGCAGACTCTTTATCTCGGCATCTTTTAAACCACTGTATAAGCCTCGAATACCACCGACAGATGCGCCTACAGCAAAGCAAAAGGTTTATATATATAATAGAGAAGATTTGTAGCTCAGGTAGGTGGATGATTTGCAATTAATAGTGTTCTCTGAAGAGCTGGTTGGTTTAGTTGCGGAGCTTTCGTCGTCCCCCTGCTGGACAACATCCCCCTTCAGCGCAATATTTAGCATAAAGTGAAATGATTTAAATTTCTTCATGAGTGGTGATATAATTGCGTCTCCTGGTAACCATCTTTACATATGTATTGACCATTTTCTATTGACTTGGATTTTAAACTTTCTGGTCACCTGATTTACTTTTTATTAGTTGGTATATTTCGTCTATATTAACGTGTTTGTTAATTGCATATTCGTTTGAGTACCAGGCTTCTAGGAATTCCCTGACTACACTTTTGGTGGTGTTTCCTCTGTCTAAGATTTTGACATTATCCCAGTTATCAAACTGATGTCCATAATTATCTATATGCATTGATATCAAACAGGAATATATATCATGTCTTTTCACAGCTGATTTGTGTTCTTGGATTCTAATTCGAAGGGGACGCCCACTTTGACCACCGATGTAATGCTTGTTGCAGTTCATACATGCAATTTATTTTGTAAATGGTATTAATTTTATCCCCTTTTTCTGTTGGATGTGTCTTTCGGTTTGCATAATATCGAATTAAGCGATTTGACTGGTTTGTGTGCTATATCTATATCTAACGGTTTCAGTATTCTAGCTGTTATTTCAGAGATATTTCTCATGTATGGTAGAATGAATTTTCTTGTGTTCTTTGATGATGATGGTTCCTTGTTGGTGTTGTGATTCGACTTTGAACACTTTTTGAAGACCGTTTGTAGGTACTTTTCTTCCATTCTTTTCAACGCTGGCGTAGTGCTACAGTGTGTTTGGACTCTCTTTTAAACAATGTCTGCACACAGTTTCGTTTGTGAGTAATTGGGTTATTGCTGGTATAGTTGAGTATTTTATCTGTGTGTGTGCGTTGATTTTCTATATACTTGTGTTTCTAAATCTCCTGTGTTGGTTCTCCTGATTAAGACATCTAGAAATGGGATTTTGTTATCTAATTCTTCTTCTCTTGTGAATTTGATGTCTTCAAATATGTTGTTTATTAATTTATGGGTATATTCTAAATCACATTTCTCTTAATTATTACAAATGTATCATCAACGTAACGTATGCAGATTTTCGGTTTAATTATAGGTCGACCTATTAATTCTAATTTTCGCATAACGGCTTCAGCTATTAATCCTGATATGGGCGATGATCCCATTGGTGTTCCTTTTATTTGTTCATATATTTGAGTATTGAATTGGAAGTATGTTGTAAGGCATAATATTATGAGTTCTATCCAAGTTGATAATTGCATTTTTATGTCAAAATCTTAGACAGAGGAAACACCACCAAAAGTGTAGTCAGGGAATTCCTAGAAGCCTGGTACTCAAACGAAAATGCAATTAACAAACACGTTAATATAGACGAAATATACCAACTAATAAAAAGTAAATCAGGTGACCAGAAAGTTTAAAATCCAAGTCAATAGAAAATTTTTTTATTCCTTCACGTTCCTAGTGGAACATAGGGCTTCAAGCTAGAGGCTTGAAGTTTCTTTAGCAGTGTTTTATTTTTACAGGATGAGGTTGCTAGCCTCATGTCCAACCTTTCCCCTTTACCAGCTTTATTTCTGGCTTAGCAAGGTAAAGGAGTGCGTCGGCCAGGGATCGAACCCCGGACCCTGTGCATGGTTGTCGAGCATCCTAACCGCTATGCCACCGACGCACACGCACAATAGAAAATGGTCAATACATATGTAAAGATGGTTACCAGGAGACGCAATTATATCACCACTCATGAAGAAATTAAAAAATCATTTCACTTTATGCTAAATATCGCGCTGAAAGGGGATGTTGTCCAGCAGGGGGACGACGAAAGCTCCGCAACTAAACCAACCAGCTCCTCAGAGAACACTATTAATTGCAAAAGTTTATATATATATTCCACATTTAATTTTTTTTAATTACCTCCAATGACCATAGCGCCTATTTCAGAAAACGATCTTTCAAACCGACCTCGACGTTTTTCTCCCTCAGGGAAAATAAACTGTTCCTCAGGATTCTACAAATAAAATAGATGCTTCCACTGTATACAACATACCGAGACCAAAATCGATGGGTCAAAGTTTAAGAACGGTGAGACGAATACATTGCGATCTGGTTAAACGATGAGTAATAAAAGGTTGACCAGAACGTACCGTCAGAATTTGTGGTTGACATTCTAGCAGAATTTTGAATTTTGTGACCGTAATACTCCTGGATGAAAAAAAGCGCAGACATTACATCACTGTGACTGATTGGTCAAAGGAATTATAAAAATTTCAACTAAAACATAACAGTGAATGACTACAATCATAATTTCTAAAACTAGAAGCTACTTCTACTTGAAGACATGAAAAGGTTGACTGCTTTTGTTCATGGATGTCTACGATCTCTTTCTCACGTTAGGTGGTATCATAAGGTAAGTAATGTTGACGTTAGGCGTAGAGTGTTGGGCAAAAAGAGGGAAAATCAATCGACAAGGCTATAAAGTTACATAGATTGAGATGGCTAGGTCACGTGCTCCGCACGCCTAACTATCGCCTCCCCCTCCCGACGGGCATTACTAGCTGATATATAGGTGCAGGTTGGAAAAGAGTAAGTGGTGCCATGCCAAACAAAAACATGGCCTCATCAATCCATGAAATCCTTGACAGTTAAACTGAGTCAGGTAGGGAGGGGATGCAGATTACCGGGTTGGGGCCCGCCCTTGGGACTCTAAGAATCAATGGCTGGAGACAGACAATAGGTGACATGGCTCAAAATCGTTGTCAATGGCTTACTCAGGTGTATTCAGTCTCTGTAATCTTTCATATTCCTTTCTACCATTACTCATTCTGTTTCACTCTTATACTTGTCAAAACTCTATTGATTCTCTTTACTCATCCATCTTCTTGTCTACCTTTGTGTGATATTTGGAACGTGGCAACTCGAACTGCTGCACTTCGGTGCCAAGTTCTATGTTGACCCCAGACAGAGACAGACAGACCTCCTGGAAGCCGCCATGACGAAGTGTTTTGAACAATATGAAATGCAAACCTGCTGAAGAGCGTAAACTGATTTCAAGTGTCGATGACAATGGCGATCCCTGGTGGATGGCCATCTGTGGAAATGAGAAAGGCACAAGCAATAGATGATATCAATCAACGTTCATTACAGCAGGTACTGAAACATATACGTGGTAATCGAAAGATGCATAGCATTACATTCCGACTCCTAAATTAGAAATAGGAAGTGAAGTGGTTGGTGGAGCACGTTGACCGCTTCACTTACTTGGGAAGTACCATCAGCCAACACCAACAGGTTGATCTTTGATGAAATCTCAGCTGAGTACGGATACAGCGGGCTAGTTTTGCATATGCCAGTTTACACCGTCTCTGGCTTAGTAGATGTGATATCCGGCTGGCTATCGAACAAAGGGCGGGTGTACTGCTCAACTGCTCAGCCTGACATAGGGTCAGGCTGGAAAAGAGCTAGCGGCAATGAAACCAAAACATGGCTTCACCAGTCAATGAAATCTACAACAGTTAGTTTAAGCCAGCCACGTAGGAAGGTGTAGACTTCTTGGTTGGGGTCCTCAGGACGGTAAACACCAATGAAGGCTGGAGACAATCGGTGATATGGCTCAAAATCGTTCTCAATGGCTGGCGGAGATTCATCCACTCCTTATGACTTATGATTTCCAATGAAGCTATATTGTTCTTCGTTTTTACTATTCCTTTGTCTCACACTTCTGTTTGCTGTCTCTAGTATGCATTTCTTCTACTTTCTTCTCTTGCTTTGTGTGCTACATGGAGTGGAGTGTGGCGACTTGAACTGCTGCACATCGGTGCAAAGTTCTATGTTGAAAACAGACAGACAGACAGAGACTATAGAGGTCAACAACCAATGTTAATTATCAACATCAAGGGTAATTTACAGCTACAGGGCAACAGTTGACCAGGATGTACGAAATATCCATAAGAAGGTATCTCTCTACGTCTTACTGAGGTTTATCGTGGATTAATTATAACTCGAATTCTTAAAGAAAGAAAAATAGTAATCAATCCAGGTTATGAGTATTTTCCTTTCTTTGGCTCAGATCCTTCAGTTAAAATTAGGTCTTCACAAGTAAGAAGCACTAATGATATAAGTATAAAACTTGGGCACTGTGGTGTGTGTGGTACAGTATAAATACTCCATTATGGATAAGATTTCATTTTGATAAACTGTCACTCACAGTGTGTGTAGTGTTATACAGTAAGTAATATGAACTGATGCAACCACACGTTTCGAGCACAATTTACTATTGCCACTCATAATCATCATTTCAAGTCACTCACTCACACAACTTTCGTCTTCCTTCATTTATATACATGAGTGGAATTGATGATTAGACATTTGAATACAAACCAGTAATATAAGATAATGTACATTCACAAATAATAATAATAATAATATGAGTGTTATTGATCAAATACAATCAGAAGGGAAATAAGACGAGTGTTTTTATAGTCATAATAAGTTAATAGATATTTAAACTGTAATTCGTCTCATCCGTTAAATGTTAAGGCAGGCTTAGTGAAGTGTCTGACAAACCAAGCCATAGCACTAAGTAGCACAAAAAAGGACCTAAATGACGAAATAAAACAGATAGAAGAAGAGTTGGTGCTAAATAACTAACTATCCTATAAAATTCATTAAGAAGATCAGTAAAGGCCAAAAACGAAATAAAAATAATTGTGTAACTAGTAGTAATAACATAAATAAGAGAGAATATAAGTCATCTACTGTTATACCATATAAGGAGGGGGCATCTGAGGCCCTACGTAGGATTCTCAATGAAGCAGGAATTAGGGTGACATTCAAACCCACAAACTCACTCAGAGACAAGCTTTGTAGGTTGAAAGACCCGGTGGATCCAATTAAACAAAATAAATCAAAACAAATGATTCAGCGAAGAGACTCTTTTCAACGAATTTATCATCAAGCTGTACAATCGTATATATATGGTTTTTAAGAAGTTATATCCGGTGAGGGAATTGAAACATAGGTGTGAATGCATGAAATAATAATATGAAGTGCAATTAAAACTAAAATGTTTGTGATTATAATCGTAGTTAAAGGTCAAGTGGCAAAGCAAATTAATGTCATATATAGAATAATTCATAGGATGGATAGAACTTGAAAAAGGTGTGCAATTATAAGATTAGTAGACAAATCGAAAAAATAAAAACGTTACGTAATATTGTGTGAAATTTAATAGCATAGAATTTAATGTTGCATAAAGGAATTGATTTAGAATGACAAGTGGAACAAGTGAAATAATACCGGGGACAATTAAAAATGAGAGTAGTAATAGTAATAGAAGGACCGATGGAACCCTGAAAAGATCGATTTATCGCAAGCTGTCATGGAATGGTCAACTGACAAATTTCTACAGTTGGGTACCCATTGGTCGGAAACGAAACCTGATCCGGTCGCTTGCCACTCGTATTCGGCGCATATGTAGCCCTGATACTGTGGAAGATGAGCTATACATCTTGAGGAAAGTCCTAATAGAAAATGGATTTCCACCACGTTTTATAGATAAGAATATTCATTCAAATCCTAAAAAACGTGAGTTATCAACCGTACCCAAGAAGACACTTTACATGAGCTTGGAATTCAAAGGGGACTTAGCTTCCGATATCATGAAACGGAGGATATCACAATCCCTGAAAAGAACATTCCCTGCTGCATCCCTGAGAATAGCCTTTTCTAGTCGACCATTATTGTTCAATAACCTGAAGGACAAAATCCCGCTGTTGACCAACTCTATGTGTGTTTATCAATTCACCTGCTCTTGTGGAGCTAGGTATATCGGTCGTTCGACACGAGTTTTGTCCAAGAGGGTGCAAGAACACTATCCTGCATGGTTACGAAAAGGTGGTAGTGGAGCAATAAGAAGCGCGATCATTGAACATCTGGTCGAGAATGATCACCCTATCTCTATAGCCTCCGCCTTCAAAGTCATCTACAAGGCAAAGAGTAATCTACCCAAATCCCTACGTACCCGACTCATCTGTATTGCTGAAGCTTTGGCTATCGAAACAGAAAAGCCAGATCTCTGTGTACAGAAGAAGTTCGTTCAACCCCTCCAACTTTCATGGTCTTAATCCCTCTATGCTAAAGTATGGTAATCCCCAATCATACTTTAGCTCTACCAATTTTTCATTTTTTTCCATTTTTTCATTTTTGTCTATTCAATTTGTATACTCCTCCTTATTAAGTCAATTGTTACTATTACTACTCTCATTTTTTTAATTGTCCCCGGTATTATTTCACTTGTTCCACTTGTCATTCTAAATCAATTCCTTTATGCAACATTAAATTCTATGCTATTAAATTTCACACAATATTACGTAACGTTTTTATTTTTTCGATTTGTCTACTAATCTTATAATTGCACACCTTTTTCAAGTTCTATCCATCCTATGAATTATTCTATATATGACATTAATTTGCTTTGCCACTTGACCTTTAACTACGATTATAATCACAAACATTTTAGTTTTAATTGCACTTCATATTATTATTTCATGCATTCACACCTATGTTTCAATTCCCTCACCGGATATAACTTCTTAAAAACCATATATATACGATTGTACAGCTTGATGATAAATTCGTTGAAAAGAGTCTCTTCGCTGAATCATTTGTTTTGATTTTCTATATGTTACAATGGGAATTTTCCATGATTTAAACAAAATAATACAATTTAAAAAATATCCTGCAACGATTGTGAGGTCAACTACATAGGTCAAACTAATAGGTCAAGGATAGTCAGATTATCAGAACATAAGAATTTAGCTACGGTAAGAATGGTTGACCCTGGAAAGATAAGTAATTTAGAAAAAACTCAGCTATTGCACTTCACGCATTAACAAACAACCACACAATAGGGTGGGATAGAGTTAAAATTGTAGAAAGTAATCTAGGTAGGTGGAGAAAGAGATTGATTACTGAATCCTTATTCATCGAGTCTACACCCAACACATGCAACAGAAATGACTCAATGCAAATACCAGAAATATGGAAGATATTATTACCACCGGTCAAATCAGAAGAGGATAATAAATAATCTTAAAATTCTATTTCAATTCAAACATATCGCAACATTTTAACAATTAACTTATTATGACTATAAAAACACTCGTCGTATTTCCCATCTAATTGTAATGGATCAATAACACTCGTACTATTATTTCTGAATGTACATTATCTCATATTGAATTTTATTCCAATATCTAATCGATTCCACACATGTATATAAATAAGGGAAAGAAGTTGTGTGAGTAACTTGATATGATTAAGAAGCACTAAGTAGATAAGTGTAACTAATGCACTAGCATTAGGCAAACTCGTCAAAATTATGGATGGAGTATGACCACCAAGTTATTGGTTATTATTGACTATTAAGGTTCTACATGAGGATGTACATCCGAACTGATTAACGCTCTCAATTCGGAGACATAGATCCGTGCAAGTGTATTTATGACCACTTATTATTAGAGGTAATGACAACCAATGGGACTGAGAAAATCTCCAATATTACTGTGCCTATTCTGCTTTTTAATGAAGCTAATGATGGAATAATAATAATATATATTTTATTCCTATCTATGTGGCAAAGTGTGCAACCATGCGCATCGGACAAGCAAGCACCAGCTCCTACGAACTAGAGGGAATTACACTCCCATCAGTTCAGACTAACTTGGACTTAGGTGTTATAGTTAGCCACGACTTAAAAACCACAGCACACTGTCGCGCGGTGGCTGCACGTAGTTTCAGGTCATTATGGGCAATTCGTAGAGCCTTTACTAGAATCACCAGAGATATGTCCACCTCCTTATATACATCTCTGGTGAGGTCAAGACTGGAAAACTCTATTCAGGCAGCCAGTCCTTGTCTTAAAGAGGACTCACACATTGTAGAAAGGAATCAAAGGAAGGCAACACGTATGGTTCTCGGCATGACTAACTTATCATACGAGGAAAGACTAGACAGTTTGAATCTCTTCTCCCTGTCATACCGTAGGCAGAGAGGAGATTTAATCACAATGTTTAAAATTTCAAATAATAATGACTACGGACCTGACCTATTCTCTCTTTTCCTTCCCACTAGGTGGTCGGAACACCTTAGAGGACATAGCAGGAGAGTTCAAAAGCCAAGAAGAAATCATATTGCGGATGCCCGGCGCTCTTCACCGGGTTGACTGTCCATTGGATGACAGTCTAGGGGAGATGGCTAAACCCTGATTCCAAACCTCCAACGACTGGCGTATGAAGCTCACTGGAGCTCACCGGCAGACGTATAGACAAAGGGCTTGTTGGATGTCCTGGATGTCTGGCCCCATTCAAAAAGGCGTATGAACCGAACTCCGGTCACCGGCTGCCAATGGATAGTGGACTCCCTACTCCACTCCTACTGCCTTGTAGGTCACACTTGGTTGTGTAAAGGCTAGAGCTGCACTCTCAAACAAAAGGCCGAGCGATTCTGGGGACATCACTCGTACCAAATTCCCATGAAACTTCGTAAACTCTCTTCATCAGATCGCTGCGCCTGGGCAGCGATGATTCGAGATGTTCATGAAGCCGGCTCATCCTTCCGTAGGAGATAGTCGAAGCAAAAGAAGAAAAGAATACTGGTTCTCACACCGAGTCATAAACTCTTGGAACCGACTGACTCCCACCAGAAGAAGTGGTGGTGTCTGCAACCTCAACTGATTCATCATTCAAGAAGGGTTTGGACAACCACAGAAATTTACTAGGAAAGGATTAACATAGGCTTCCAAGCCTTCTATCCTCAACCGAAAAAATCTGAAACCTGAAATGTAGGAATGATTAACATGTAGCCTAATGTTAGTCACACTTCATGAGGTTTAAGAATTTCATCCTTCCCACGTTAAACCTCAATTACTTAAAGCTAACACAATCCAACAATCATATAATTTAGGAGACGTTATCGATCTATAATTATTTTCTCCTTTCATATAACTAACGCTTATTTCAGCATTTCCTGACCACCAATTTCAATGCACAGAGAGGCGTAGTAGCGTAATGCTGCATTACAGAATGATTAGTTAGCAAATGTTAACAGAACAATACCAGAGAGCTGAGAAATCTGTCTGTCTGTTTTCGACATAGAACTTTGCACATATGTGCGGCAGTTCAAGTCGCCACACTCCTCCACTCCATGTAGCACACAAAGCAAGAGAAGAAAGTAGAAGAAATGCATATTAGAGACAGTAAACAGAGGTGTGGTGAGACAAAGGAATAGTAATAACGAAGAACAAAACAGTTTAATTGGAAATCATAAGTCACAAGGAGTGGATGCATCTGCGCCAGCCACTGAGAACGATTTTGAGCCATGTCATCAATTCTTTCCAACCATTGGTTTTTACCGTCCCGAGGACTCCAACCAGTCGGAAGTCTACACCTTCCTACGTGGCTTAAACTAACTGTGGTGGATTTCATTGACTGATGAAGCCATGTTTTGGTTTGACCACCGCTAGCTCTTTTCCAGCCTGACCCTATGTCAGCTAACATTGCCCATTGTCGATGAAGGCGATGACTAGGCATACGTAACACATGTCCTAACCATCTCAGTCGATGTAATTTCACAGCCTCGTCGATTGATTTCCCCTCCTACCTAACTAGCACTCGACGCCTAACCTCAATATTGCTCACCTTATTATACCACTTCACACGGGAGATAGAACGCAGACACCTATGATCGAAGACAGCTAATCTTTTCATGTCTTCCACTCTCAATGGCCAGGTCTCACAGCCAGCCATAAAGGAGGACGGAGCGGACTGATGAGCAGTACACCCGCCCTTTGGTTGATAGTCGGATATCACGTCTACTAAGCCAGAGACGGCGTTAACTGGCATATGCGAAACTAGCCCTCTGTATCCGTACTCAGCTGAGATTTCGTCAGAGATCAACCCGTTGGCACTGGCTGATGGTACTTCCCAAGTAAGTGAAGCGGTCAACGTGCTCTACCAATTCACTTCCTATTTCTAATCTAGGGGTCGGTGTAGTCCAATCCTGTAGCATCATCTTACATTTGGCGGGAGCGAATCGCATGCCAAACATTCGTAGATTGCAGCTCAAGGTGTTCAGTAGACTCTGCATTTTGTCAGCGTCCTCGCCTAGAATGACTATATCGCCCGCATATTCTAAGTCGACGAGATTATTCCCTGGTAGCAAGTCAATCCCTGAGTCTCTGAAGTCACTTAGTGTTAAGTCCATTAGTACATCCATGATGAAATTGAATAGGAATAGGGAAATGGGTCAGTACAGATGTAACAAATACTCTCTGAATATGAATGATTTAAATACAAGTGTAAAACCAATGCTGTCAGATGCAAGGAAAATAGCCCCGATGGATGATGATCTTAACAGCCACTTGTTTAAGGAAATGCTTAGGAAGCTTCAAATGTGTAAGACTCTAAAAGTGCGAAATCCTCAAGTGCACGCTAAACAAACAATTATTACTCATGCCATAATGCTATTTTTTAAAAATTCACTCGTGTTTAGCTTGAAATCGAAACTTTGTAACGATATGCACTCAGACTATCTTTGATGTCAGAAATCACAGATTACTGTTTTTCATTTTATTGAAGCTTCTTACTTTTCTTAATGTACCTTACTGACTCTATTGTTTGCACCTGTTCACCTAAGTTTCAGACTACTAAAGTCAACAAATGAAGTGGAGTGGGTGGAGTTGGATTGTGAGTGAGGCTCAGTAGGCTGAAGACAATATTGTCCTCAGCCTACAAGGATGAACATTCATCCTTGTATGCATCAGTAAAAACAGGATAAATAGGGAAAACAAGAGGCGTCTCGCCTCTTTTTTATTCAATTAAGTTGTCAGTAAATAGTATTTCCACTCACTAAGGTGTTACGAAGTCAAGTTAGATAGCTTTTCAAACAGAAAATGTTTTGCCGTCTCGTGTTCTCGAATGATTTAACATTCAGCAAGAGTGATGTCTCGATATTACATCTTACCTCAACTCCACCGTGGCGCAAGAATTCAAATTTTGCGCCTGTCTGTTATTCAATATATTTAGATTCACATTCAGATTCAGATGATAAGGATAGAAGGCTCTTGTTGCCTTTGTTAATCCTCGCGATATATATCTCTTCAGAGATCCAGTCTCTCTTTGAAAGCGTTCACCGATGGAGCTGTTACTAGTGAATCAGGTAAGGAGTTCCATTCGTTGACCACTCTGTGAGAGAATCTAAATTAAATTGTAAATGTATTTAATTCGACCTCGCTTTGAGCACCTTCTTGCGGTGACCTCGTAAATGTATCCTAGAGGGAGAGAAAAGGTTTGAAACGTCAGTCCTTAAATCACCTTTGAATATATGGCAAGTAAAAATTAAGTCGCCTCTCCTCCTTCGGTATGATCATGGGAAGAGATTTACATGCTCCATCCTCCTATCATAAGAAAGGTGTGAGATACCAATAACTAATTTCGTTCCTACTCTCTGTACTCTTTCCAGGTTATGTGCCTCCTTTTTGAGACATGGACTCCCCGCTTGTATGCAGTATTCTAGATGAGGCCTGACATATGTTGCGTAGAATATTTGGAACATGCCCAGATTTAATCGTTTGAATGCCGTTGTTATCGAAAAAATGTAATTATTATTTGGATTTTATATGGCTGTTTTGATCATCTCGTAGAGAATAGTCTTACATACACGAGTTATAAACACCGTGGTTTAGATTTCGTTCTAGGTGTGAACTATGCAGATAGTTCGAATCACATGTTGCCAGCCTCAATGACTCACTAGAGGCAAAATCTGTAAGAGTATGCGTCGAAGGAAGGACTCCATAAGAACATATAAAAGATAAAAGTGATTAGGATGCCATATTCTAAACAGTAATCCATGCGAGAATGGATATCATCTCTTTCAACTACCTAGGCAGCATCCGTTAGGGTCACTGACAAAACAGAACTTTTCAGGGCCTCAAAGCCGGAAAAGCGGCAAAACTAAATGGTATTCCCCAAGGCCACTAAACAAAAACATCGCAACAGATACGTCCACATCGCTAGAGCAGAGGGCATGGAAGGAAGGAAAGAAACCTGATCATTTGAATAAATGTTTCTTCATCAATCTGCTGAAAAAGGTATCTTTAGCCTGGGTAGAAACTAGCTCTACATCATGCTCTTCTCAAAACGACGGCGATGGGGAAAGCGATGCAGTGATCATTACTTTGAAATCACTGCTGAGATCTGTAGCACTCGACGCAAGCAACACGATCTGAAAATGTTAAATAGGTGCTTCTGTATGATCAAGAGACTGGTGCGCGAGTCATCAAAAGCATTCCAACAGGCTGCATAATCTGGTCGACGTCTGCCTTCACTCAAAGGTGAGAAAGATCAGGTAACTAGCTGGAAACACCAAACAACGAGAACTCTGTCGGACAACTAGTCAACATCCTACTGCCCAACCAACAAGTGTGCAAAAGGATATGGAGATAATCCTATAATATCACATGCCTAACAGTCAGGTTGAATATGGGTGGGAGCCAAGTGGTGGCAGCTTGTATACGATTTTTAGTCATGATTTTTGCAGTTCAAAGGATGGGACATAGACATGATGAGATAGGCCAGTTCGTTTTGTTAATTATTTTCACTTACTTTGGTGTGTACCTTAGGTGACGGTGTCAAAGGTCCTCCACATGTACCTATTTAAAGGAAATCTACAGAAATACTCGGGAATTATTTTCACATGTTATTCACTTCTTATACTGCATAGACTTGGATTTTACAGGCAGATGCAATATCCATTTTGTCTGCTTGAAAAATATTGAATGACGTAAGTACATGCAATTTACCGCATTATTTAGTATTTTCTATCACTTAAATTTTGTATTTATAATGGTCACAATGTTTACATCTTTTGATTGCTTAATTTCTTTTTCAGGTGGTAGCTACTTTCGGGGATTTCATGGAGTTGGGTGCTAAAGAAGATTTCCGCAGTGTCATTGATTTTGGATTACATGTTGGTTCATTAATAAATCTATTCCTCGTTATTCGTCTGTATATTCTACTTGATAAGGCCGAAGATTAGTCTTTGCGGAAGTTTTGAGGTACAGAGTATATGAGGCTATCTTTGAAATACTAATTCAGAGCAGATATTCGGAGAAGCCTATTGGTAAAAAGATTATGTTGTAGTCAAATAAAATGAATATGTCCAAATCTCAGAGGAGGTACTGCGATTATAAAACTTTTCGAGTTACCTATCGTCTTAGCAGAACACAAACTGATTCGCGATTCCTAGTCACTAAGTGAAAATAAATCTACCTGGGACTGTGCTTGTGATTTCTATGTGTCGCAATGTACATGAGGATAGACTGTACCTGTGCCGTTAGGCTTATAATTCAATGAGACTATGGTTATCATAATAATTAAGAACAGAATACCTACGGTTCGCAACCACAGAACTCGGTACGTTGCTATCTGTTCATTTAATCGCGTAAACAAACGTTTCCCAGACGCCATACTCATTCCTAATAGTTTACCCTCAATCTCTACCTCAACGCGTGTTACTAATGTTACTGGAACACAATCGCATTACAACAGAAGGAACACAGATTCATTGAAAAAGTGTTTATTGAACAAAAATTACATTTCAGATGTACAGATAATTCAAATGAGTAGTATTCTGTTACTTTCGGCAGATTCCATCTGCGTACATAGCACACATATGTTTCTTTATAAGTCTGGAAAGGTTTAAGAAAAGCATTATTAACATTGGTAGTACATGTAGGACCTGAATGAAAAATTTTTCCAGATGTCTGCCTAATAAACATGTACAAGTAATCACTTTACAAACAATACATATAAGTAGCTAAATAGGTTTCGCTAAACTTAAGGGACTTCTCAATTTACCGTTGGTCATGAAATGATAAAATTATTCAACAATAAGTTATGCAATAGTTTCCACAGCTTCTACAAAGATTTTAATAAAAATGACAACGGCTTTATAATAAATAACATGTCTTGACAGAAATAATAATATTTTTCATGTTCATGGTGACTATAAAAATAATAATAGGTACTATTATTGCAACGAATTCATCATTAACTTAGATAGACGGCTACTGATAATACGATCATATCAATTAAGTGTATCACTTAATCTTATGAGGCAGGTATTTACCTCCACTGTGTTCTCGCAATACTGATGTGGTCAACTAGCTTATTCCAAATGAACTAAAGATTAATTCTGAAAGTGAGTGGAGAACCAGTCTAGGTCAACTAAAACATGTAGCCTACATGTATTGCACTGCTTACTGTTACGTTTGATACCTGCTTTCCGATTTTCGTGACAAGAATACGGTATATGTAGGTATGCCTACATATACCTAAGTACACTTATATGCTGCATCAACCATGCCGTTTTCATCATGATTAACCAGACCACTGTGTATTTTATACTTATTTAAGGATCTCTGTAAATTACTCTCAAGGAATAATTGAAGCTGCATGAAGTTATCACCTCTTCGGAACACTGGATGCATTCTTGACACTGCTGATAAGTCCTTAGATCTTTTTATGGGATGAATTCATTGAATCCATCAAATCAATCCACTGGTATATCATTTACATCCTGAGTTGTAATAGTATGTGTTGTCACTTATGCACCCAACTTGATAAAAAGATCCAGGTAATTACGAACTGCACCAAACAGCCAAATGATGTTTGAAATTACCGCAACTCAAATGAAAATCTGGCCAATCACAAGCGAGTAAATCACTTGTTCATCTTACTTGCGGATACACGAAATTACGGCCGTCGATGGGCTACCGTCAAATGGTCGGTCATCCAAGTCTGACACGGAGAATACCATGTCAAGTTTAGGCGGAAGCTTGTAGTCAGTCGTAGAACCAGCCAATTAAAAGCTGTGGCAGCGAAGCGGGTGAAATGCAATTCACAGTAGTCTTAGATTCTTCTTGAAATATAAGGAATGAATGCTAATCACGAGTACTTTATTGGGGCCTCTGATGTTTAGTTATACCAAGATAATCCATCCCCTTGTCTTCAAGCGATACTTTCAAGTGCTATCTTTTACATGTACGTTGCAGTATTGTCCCGAGCAGTAATAATAAATGGACTTGATGTAATTGCCCTCACGAAATGGTGAGTTGCTGGCCACAAAACATTTGCCGAAGAATTTCTGAATTGTCACAGTTAGTGCTGCCAACGATGAGTCTTTTTTAAGCGGTGGTTAAAAAATAAAACTTCTCTCTAACCTGAAATTCCGTGCAACAACTATTATATTGCTTACTTACAGGTATCTTTGTGAGGTACCACCATTCACTGCTTCTAATTCACTTATCGTTAAACCTAGCTAATTTGATCTCTTCTGCATAGATCTGATGTACTAGCTTACTCCAGATATGATGCTTTGTCCATCTTCATGATTTAGTAACATTGAAATCTTAAACAACGCTCTTCACGAGTGGTATACTTGGATTCTGTACACCGGCTAGTATACTGCTATTATGAACTCTGATTAGTCGGCTCATTGACAGTCATGTAGTCATCCAATTTGATCATCGTAGTTCGAATGCGCCTCACTGGATGCACCCTATGGAAATGATATTTGTAATCTTTCCTGAAGGAGTCAGGATAGCTAACTAACCCTTCAGGTGATACGCTCGATTGTTTCCTCATTTGTACCGCATGACAGTAAGTTATTGTCTTAGGACCACTTCACATCCAGTAAGAAAGCATTCTGGGAGCAGTGTTGAAACTTATGCATCTGGCTTATATGATGTTAACAGCCTGGGCTTATTTTCACTTGAGGATTATATATATATGTCACGTCTACTGTTCAGCTCGCTAACTACCGACGTGTTCCGGAGTTTGATCCCGGCCCAACGCACTCCTAAACCTCAGTCAGAAGTAAACCCAATAAGGAAGGGAGGCTGGGTATCAGGCCAGCAACCTTATCTCCTAAAAATATAACACCAGTGCTGCTAAAACCTCGAAGATATATGTTCCACTCAGAAAGCAAAGGTATAAAATGAGAAATAAAAACATATTAAGCCTTAGATCCCGAACTTTATTTTGCGTTCCAAATATTT